AGGAATTCAAGTGTGGTCTTGGCTACACATACAGACTATGTCTCTTAAAAAATAATAATAATAAATTAAAAAATTTAAAAAAATTTTTAATGTCTGTCTCTTTTTACCAACCTCTTTCAGAAATTCAGATAATAGTGGGCAGAAAAATAGCTAGAAGCCAGAATCAAAAGAGAATGAAGATCTGCATTAGATACAGATAATCCACAAATGATTATCCAAAACGAAATAACCACATTTATACATAAAATTACTCCAATATCTAAAATAAAGAATTCAGCCCCAGATCAGAAGCTGTTGAATTTTGATCAACTATTTTAGAAACTCATTTCAGAATACAGTATAAATATATATATCTACACCAATAAAAGAAAAACAAATACACTAAAATTTGTTCTTTAATGGTATATGGTAGAAGAAGTACCAAAGTCATAGAGCCAAATGGCTCAAAATAATTTACCAAAACAATGGAATTATATTTTAAGGGTGGTATAAAATGATCAAGTCAGGCAAAACTCCAGTTAACTTCAGGGTCACCCTCCCAACCTGAAAGGGAAAGGGCACAGATAAAATTACAATATGAGGGCCGGGTGTGGTGGCTCACGCCTGTAATCCCAGTGCTTTGGGAGGCTGAGGAGGGTGGATCATGAGGTCAGGAATTCGAGATCAGCCTGGCCAACATGGTGAAACCCCATCTCTACTAAAAATACAAAAATTAGCCAGGTGTGGTGGTGGATGCCTGTAATCCCAGCTACTAGGGAGGCTGAGGGAGAGAATTGCTTGAACCCAGGAGGCGGAGGATGCAGTGAGCTCAGACTGCATCACTGCACTCCAGCCTGGACGACAGAGTGAGATTTCGTCTCAAAAAAAAAAATAATAATAATCACAATATGAGCCAATCTTCATTGACCACATTTATAGAAAAGATACGCATTTTGTAAAGTCCAGCTTAAAACCTAAGTCATCTTACTTGATTCATTTATATTTGGCATTATTTTATTGATATCCATTGAAAAATGAAAAAAAAAAAAAATCCCAAGCATTTCATGTAAATGGCTGGTTAAATAGCATCAATATCCTCTTAATGCTAACACTAAATGTGGCTAGCTATATTCCTTCTGCTGCAATGACCAGCTAAAAAGACTAACTTGGAACAAGTGAAACTCAAATTCCATTTTCCAGGGTTCTCAATAGCAAAATAATTATGAAAACAGAATAATAACAATAAAAATAATGCTCATACATTTTAAACTGGAGATGCAGACTTTTAAATTTTTAGAATAAGGACCCCTGCAATTGTCACCCAGTAAAGTACTTCTCAAATATTTAGACTATAGGCCACTTTAGTGGTATAAGCATGCTTATCCTTCCAGTTGCTACTTTCACATTATAAAGTCCATAGTAACAAATGATTTGAGAGAAACAAAATAAAAAGTTTGTAAGTTAAAATATAAGCCCATTAATATTCATCTAACTAAAGGATGTGACAATATTTTATATATATTGAACATGTACTATATGTTTTATATGCATTAATTCACTTATTCCTCACAACTGCCCTATGAAGTATATATTATTTCCATTTTGACAGTTTTATCATACTAATAAACTATGCTCTGATGATGATGATGATGACAATGAATACTAACACTTTAATAAGATTTACTATATGCCAATCACTGTTCTAAGCACCTAACCTATGTTAATTAATTCCCTCATAAACCTTACTAACTCATTTACTCATGAACATCAGGTAGGTAATATTATAATCCATTTTAGTGATGAGAAAACTGAGGCATGGACAAGTTACTTAATCTGCCCAACCACTTAAATGGCAGAGGAAGAAACACGTCTTAGGTAATCTGGTTCCAGAATTTGTATACACTTTAAGTTATATCACTAACCTATAGTCACATAACTAATAAATAGAAAAGTCATCAATATAGCCCCAATCTTTTGGCTTGGCCTCCACATCAAAACGTTTCCCTAATATACCCAGTAAGAGACTTACAGAAAAGTTGACATTAAAATATACCACATCTAAAAACTAGGTAATATATAAGGTACTCAAATACATAAGCAAAGAATCTTTTCTATTCTTAGTCCAAACATCACATGAAAATAAAGTTATTCATATAGCTAATCGTGACTTACCTTCTATGGTACGCTATAATATAAAACCAATTATTTATTATAAGATGTCAAGGACTTTAAAATAAAATGCACTGTTCCATCAAAATCAAAAGTTCTGCTTTTGCAAACCCTAATTTTTGTTCCAAAGTTTATAAATCTTGGATTCTAAAATTTTATATATATATATATATATGTGTGTGTGTGTGTAATTCCTTTCAGTAATATCTAAATTATCTTAGTGATTCTACTTTCTAGAATTTTCCTTGTTCCAATAGACTGTATCCTGAAAACTCTTTGTAGGCTTTGTTATTTAAGATAATCTTCTCAGTAAAAAAAAAAAAGAAAGAAGAAAAATCCATGAATCTCCATCTCATATCACAGTCTTTTTAGGAAAGAAATAGGTGGAAACAGACAATCCTGAAATGATGACCACTGTACAAAATAGCTGGCCTGTACTCTTCTCCAACGTTATTATCATGGAAGGTCCTATTATGAAAAACAAATAAAAGCTAATAAACTATTCCAGGTTAAAGGAAACCAAACAAATGTGACAACTATGCAATTTATGATTGTGAATCAGACCAACTATAAAATTTTAATATGAACTATATATTAGATAACAGCAATGTTTCTTGAATTGATTATTATATTGTGGTTAAGTAGGAAATATTTTAGAGTGAAGGATCATGATTGTCTACAATTTTTTCTCAAATGGTTCATCATCATCACTGTAATGGTAAAGGGGGAAGGGGAAAAGGAAAAGTAAATACAGAGAGAGATAAAGCAAATTCCATAAAATGTTTGTAATGGTGAAACTGAGCAATGGGCATGCAGATGTTCAGTCTAGCAATTTTGTAACTATTTGGTACATGTGCAATTGTTTTTAATGTTAAGAAGAAATCGAAAAGATTAAAAATGTCATAATGAGGAAAATATGACTTTAGAGTCACTCCGTGAACAGTGAGGAAAGACAGACACCAAGCTAATGTTCAGTCACTGTATTATTCTATCAATTTTCTCTCCCTTTCTCTTTCATAAAGTCGAGGTACTAACGTTCCTTTCCTGAAAACTCTTAAAGACATGGCTCTCCTACTTAATTAAAATTTCTCTTTATGATAATACATCCTACTCCGCAAAACTTTCTTTTTTAATCAGAATACTTAATTCATTTATCGCTTCTTAGGGAGAAACAACAGTCTGATTGGAAACAACAGAAAACATAAATTAATACAGGTTGAACATCCCAAGTCCAAAATCCGATACACTCCACAATCTGAAGCTTTTTGAGCACCAATATGATACTCAAAGGAAATGCTCATGGGAGCATGTAGGATTTCAGATTTCGGATGCTCAGCTGATAAGTATACCGCAAATATTTTAAAATCCAAAATATGGAACATTTCTAGCGACAAGCATTTCAGATATGGGGCACTCAACGTGTAAATACAAATGTATCATCAGTTAATAAAAGCCAGAAACCGAGAGTTGTGTTTGCTCTAGAAACTGATGAAAAAAAAAATTTTTTTTTTTTTGAGAGGAGTCTCGCTCTGTCACCCAGGCTGGAGTGCAGTGACTTGATCTTGGCTCACCGCAAGCTCTGCCTCCCAGGTTCACACCATTCTCCAGCCTCAGCCTCCCAAGTAGCTGGGACTACAGGTGCCTGCCACCACACCGGGGTTTTTTGGGCATTTTTAGTGGAGACGGGGTTTCACCGTGTTAGCCAGGATGGTCTCAATCTCCTGACCTCATGATCCACCCGTCTCAGCGTCCCTTGAAGTGGTGGCATTACAGGTGTGAGCCACGGCGCCTAGCCAAAACTGATGAAATTTTAAAGAGGCAGAGATAGTAAGATTAGATGAATACCTTTTTAAATAATTTTGTACCTCTAGTCCTTGCTTTAAAGCTCTCTGCCAACTTCCAAACTCACTGTTAATTCCAAACACAGGCATTGTTGGCCAACTAAATTTTACTGCCTTTAACTTCAGTGATCTATAAAACCCCACGCTCTAGGTTGACAGGTATCACTTTCCATGGTGACAACTGTCTCCTCCTTTAAAAGTGAATGGGCGTGCAGCTGGGGCACATGGATGAAGAGGATTTCTGGGGTGGTGGTATTGTTCTACTTCTTAATCCAGGCAATGTTTACACAAATATGTTCAGTACATAATAAAAAGTTATATGCTTATAATTTTTTATTTTTATCTATGTATAATTCAATTAAAAGTCTATTAATTAACACATTTTCTCCTGGAAGTTTTCCCTTACTGATTTATCAGTTTCTGATCACTCTTCAACTCTTTTATCTACTGTCTTGGCTTGGTGCATGTTTATTTTTCTACTGCTCCCATCAGCATGTTCATGGATATACAGGTTCTATTCAGCTAGCTCACAAACTCTAAAACAGTAACAATGTAAAAATGCCCATATGGACACTATATATACATAAATTACGAAGGTATATATTATATGGGTATACCTACATACTATACAGGTATACTTATAATTATATAGGTATATATTATGTAATTTTATGCGTATATGTATAAAATTAACTGGATATATGTTAGAAATATACGAAGCAAATCTGGAGATGGTTTACTACAGTTTTTCTGCTGCCATTTTCAATTCAGTAAGGACTTTGAGGGTCTCATCATAAGTGATTTCAACATACACTAAAATAGCTCATAAAGTGTACCCTAGAATTTTCCTATCATTTTCATTTAGGAATGTCAGCACCTGTTTTACACTAACCTTGAAGCATCCCAGATCAAACACATATTTCCATAAAAGATAACAGTCAACAGGTAATCATTTTCCTTCCATACTTTTGCAGAGACAAAGCTCTTTAAAAATAGAACTACAATTCCTACCTGGGAGACTTCTTTGTTCATAATGAATCCTCAAAACAGATATGGTCAAATCTCGTGTTCCAGAGGGTAGCTTCCTGGGGAATGGGATAATGATGTTTTCCAGAGATGGCTCTAGTCTCTTCACTCTCACCTCATTTAAGGCCAATTATATAAACAACTAGAATAAAAAGACAAAAATAAAAGCAGAAGGGATGTTAGATTGCCATTTTATTCTCCAATTAATAATAAAGGTCAGATATGCTAGAAAAAGAAAAAAATGCAACTTTCAGAGTGAAATGGAAAAATATTTCCAAAAGACAATGGATAAAGATCTCATTTTACAGCTTAAGTCCTTTCTGGTGATTAAGTACTCCTGTTTGAGAATGATGCTTAGGTAAAACATAATTGCATTCTACCCTTAAACTTCTGAAAGACTCATTTATATGTCTTTTAAAAGTTGTTTTGGGCTGCATTTGTGTATTTATCCTTTTTCCTACTTACAAATTCTGATTTTTTCATATTTTCAGTTATCACATAATTCTTTAGTTATGTAACACTCCTATAATATTTTATCTTCAAATTTCTAATTGAAAAAGTTTACAAACATTTTATATTTGTAATACTTCAAAAAGATGGTAGTTGACGTCTGGTTCTAGTAATGATGAACTACCTTATATCGAACTAATTTGCCCACGGATAACAGTTATAAATTCTGGACAAAACATAAAAAACAACTGTTTGAAGAAATTGGAAAGTGACCAAAGTGGACAGAAATTGTAGGGGTTCTGATCATTGAAAGAAAGGAATTATGTTGAGTGAGATACACACTTATGAGACTCTCCTGGAAGGGAACTCTTCCCAGCACTCCCACTTAAGCTCAGAGAGACTAGGTTTAAATGAGAAAACCACAGTCTTATTGGCTTGAGGCATTAAAGAATGTAAATCAGAGCTAAAAGGAAGCTGGAAATTGAGTAGACTAGATTACAGATCTTACTTGAATTTTGCCAGTTTTTGCATGCACTCATTTTTTGTATGTCTTTTTTACAATTCTATGACATTTTAGCACATGTACAGATTCATGTAACTATACCACAATGAGATTCACTGCTCCATCACCACAGGTGAATTGTTTCATGCTGTTTATAATCACATCCCCCTTCCCCTTTCCTTAACTCTTGACAACTGCAATCTGTTCCCTATTTCTATAATTTTTGTCACTTTGAGAATACTACATAAATTGAATCATATAGCATGGAATCTTTTCAAGTTGGCTTTTCTAAATTTATTTTATTTATTTATTTTTATTATACTTTAAGGTCTAGGGTACATGTTCACACAGCATAATGCCCTTGAGATCCAACCAGTTTGGTGCATGTATCAATAGTTCATTCCTTTTTATTGCTCCATGGTACAGTGGTGCCAGTTTTTTTCACTATTTGTCCTGTAAAGTGCATTTGGGTTGTGTTTAGTTTTTGGCTATTATAAATAAAGCTGCTATGAATATTTGTGTACACGCTTTTGTAAAAACATTCGTTTTCATTTCAATGCCTGGGACTGTAATTGCTGAGTTGTATAGTTAAGTGTATGTTTACTAGCCAGTAATTTAGTTGTCTACTAAAAGATAAATCAATACTCTTCAAAAAGAGTTAACAATCCACAATGTCATCCACAACATCCAGTATGCAATAAAAAATTACTAAACATGCAAAGAAGCTAGAAAATGTAACTCCAGATCAGGAGAAAAGGTGGTCAACAGCAGCATACCACAAGTTGATTTAGGTGTTGGAAATACCTAACAAAGATGTGAATGTAGCTATTATAAATATGTTTAGAGATTTTAAATATATAAGTATATTTTATTTATATATAATGGGTAAACACACGAGAAATACTGGCAGCAAATGGAAACTGAGAAAGAAATAAATGGAAGTTCAAGAGCTAGATCATTCAATAGCAAATTTCAAGATTCACTGGCCAGACTTAACAACAGTAGATTTGTGACAGCAGAAAAACAAGTCAGTGAACTTGAAATCAAAATAATACCAAGTCTGAAGAAGAAAGAGAAGAGAAACCACACAACCACACATACCCCTTCTATAATCTGGAGAAAACACACACACACACACACACACACACACACACACACACACACGCCTTCTGTAATCTGTTGGCAATACCAAGCATGTAATTGATGAGAGGAGAAAGATACTGGGGCAGAAATAGTATTATGCGGAAATAATGATTGAAAATTTTCAAAATTTGGTGAAAAATAAACTGTCAGATCCAGTGTGTCTCAATAAATCCCACTCAGAATAAATACAGAGACACCAACTCTGGCAAAGTCGAGTCAAACCACTAAAAAAAAATTAACATAAAATTTTGAAACTAGCTTGGTCAAGGTAGCACATCACACACAAGAAAACAAAGATATAAATGGTAACTGATTTCTCATTGGTAACAACAGAGGCAAGAAGATAATGGAATAATTTCTTCCATTAAAATACTGAAGGCAGGGTAGCCCTATCAACTCACAATTCTATATCCAGCAAAAATATCCTTCAAAAAACTGAAGGCAAAATTAAAAACACTTTAACATAACCAAATATAATCTGTTATAAGATTAATATATAAGAAATACTAAAGGAACTTTTTCAGGCTAAAGAGAAATGATGCTAGGTAAAGTCAGATCTACAAAACAGAAGCAAAAGCATCAGAAATCATAAATACGAGGGTAAATAAAAAGGACTATGTATTTTTTACTCTTTAAAAGATGTATGTATTCTTTCTTTAAAAGATAAGTGATTATATAAAATATATTTAAAAATATAAAATATTGTGGCATTTGTAATGTATTAAATGTTAATTATATTACAATAATAACACAAAGGATGGGAAGGTATAAATGCAATTATACTGTTGCAAGTCTCTTAAATTTCACTATTACAACATTAACTATAAATAAATTTATAAATTAAGGATATATATTGTAATTCCTAGAGCAGCCACTTAAAAATTATAAAAGAGTAGTGTTCAAAAGGTTATAAGGAATTTGAAAATATAAGAAAGTATAGCTAAAAAGTTAACAGGAATTATCAGTACTCTACTAAAAAATATTTGGTTAACCCAAAAGAAGGCACGAAAATAGGAAAAGAAGAACAAGGAACAAATGGTATCTTAAACCCAACCATATTAATTACATTAAATATAAAATAACTAAACATTACAATTAAAAGATGGAAACTAGAGAAAAAGCAAACCCACACTATAAGCTGTCAATAAGAGATATAGTTTAAATATAAAGACACAAATAGGTTGAAAGTTTAAAAAATGGAAAAGAATATATTACACAAACAGCAAACATAAGAAAGCAATATAAATATCAGCAAAAGTAGACTTCAGGACTAGGAATGTAACTAAAGATAAAAAGGGAAGTTTCATAAAAGAGTCAATGCATCAGGAAGACAGAATCATAATTTTAAAGAAATTTTTAATTGTCTTAGAGACGGGGTCTTGCCCAGGCTGGTCTTGAGCTCCCACGCTTAAGTGATCCTCCTACTATGGCCTCCCAAAGTGCTAGGATTATAGGTGTGAGCCACCATGCCCAGAATCATAAGTTATGCAAATAATAACAGAGCTTCAAAATAAATGAAGCATAAACTAACAGAACTTAAAAGAGAAATAGAAAAATCCATACATATCATTGAAGATTTTAACATTCCTTTCTCAATAATAGATTTTTAAAAACCAGTAAGGAAATAGGAGATTTGACGAACAGTGATAACTAGCTTGTCCTAAATGAACATTCATAGAACAGTACATCCAACAACTGGCAAATGTACATTTATTTGCAAGTGCACATGAAACTATTATTCAACATGAAACAAATGGTGAGCCATTTTTTATATAACACATTTCTAAAGATTGAAATCTTAAAGGGTATGTTCTCTCACTACTATGGAATTAGAAACCAATAACATATCCAGAAAAGTCTTAAATAGGTAGAAATTTGACAGCATACCTGTTAATGACCTACAGTGAAAGAAGAAAATGCAATGGAAATTAGAAAACAAGTGAAACTGAAATAAAGTAAACAAATGACATCAACATCAGTTGAATGACTCTGAAGCTGCATTTATACTCTGCATACACATACACACACACACACTTTTTTTTTTTTTTTTTTTTGAGACAGAGTCTCGCATTGTCGTCTGGACTGGAGTGGAGCGACACGATCTCGCCTCACTGTAACCTCCGCTTTCCAGGTTCAAGCGATTCTTCTGCCTCAGCCTCCCAAGTAGCTGGGATTACAGATGCCCATCACCACGCCTGGCTAATTTTTTGTATTTTTAGTAGAGGCAGGCTTTCATTATGTTGGTCAGGCTGGTCTTGAACTCCTGACCTCATGATTCACCTGCCTCGGCCTCCCAAAGTGCTGGGATTACAGGCGTGAGCCACCACGCCTGGCCTATACTCTGCTTACAGCTTTTAAAAAGTTCAAAATCACAGATATAAACTAAAAATAATACATTTAATATTATAATCAATGGAATAAATATGGACAACTGAAAAAAACTAAAACTAAAAGTTGTTTTTTTGAAAAGGTAAAAAATTGATAAAACTTTAGCAAGACTGATCAAGAAAAAGTTACCAACACAAATTACTAATACTAGAAATGTGACGGATGTCACCACAGATTGTACAAATATAGTGTTCTGAACAACATTATACAAATCAACTCAGTAACTGACATAAAATGAAAAATCTCAAGAAATTAAAATTTTTATTTTATTTATTTATTTATTTATTATTATTATTATACTTTAAGTTCTAGGGTACATGTGCATAACGTGCAGGTTCCCTTCTCATTGGATTCCTAGTATTTTATTCCTTTGGAAGCAATTGTGAATGGAAGTTCATTCACTGATGTTGGCTCTCTGTTTGTTGTCTGTTACTGAGTGTATACAAATGCTTGTGATTTTGCACTATTAATTTTGTATCCCGAGACTGTGTGCTGAACCCCATCAAAAAAGTGGCAGAAACAGTAAGGAAATAGAACGAGACATTTCCTCAAAAGAAGACCATTCATACAGCCCAACCGCCTCTGACAAATGCTCTATCCCTGCTCCGCGCACTGCCCGCTCACTCGATACTCTCCGTTGCGGCGTTTCACAAGCGTCA